CCCCAAAACCCCAAAACCCCAAAACCCCAAAACCCCTAATTAAATTACCTTAATTGCAAAATTGGAACGATGCTAAAGGAAAATGGTAGCCCAAACTAGTTTATAGATGGAAAAACTGATAAATTAGCTATCTCTCAGTACTCTAATCGACTATCTTCCTGTTCTTGATCTCTGTTGGCTTTCGCAAAAGGGAGCTTTGCTTTTTTGGTTTTGAAGGCTTAGCGGTGTTATCTTCTTTTCTACTCAGACGAGGATAAATTTTTGAATAATTAGAGTAGCCTTTCTCTTGTTTGAAATCTAAGCTTTTGTTGTTGTTTCTCAAGACTTTTCTTGGAGCTAAAATATTAGGCAATAACTCACCTTCAACCATATATTCAGATTTTTCAGTCTTTCTCTTGATGCCTCAGCCTTGTTCCTCTTTCGAAGGGCTGCTTTGGTAAGCTTCTGAAGCTTTTGTATAGATCCTATTCCCTCTATAAAATTTGTTTCAAAAGCCATACCTAACTTGTGAAGATTTGGACTTCTCCATCAATATAGAGGCATAATCCTCTTTCAGCTGTGCGATGTATTTCTCAACAGTAGCATCTTGAGACTTCTTCCTCTTGCTTGAGACTGACTTCTCTGTCTTATTTAAAAGCTTATATATCTCTCTAAGAGTTTTTGAATTAGCTAGTTTATCATAACTTCTCTTATCCTTCCTTAGATTGTTCTTTTCTTCCGAGGTGAAGATCCCTTTGAAAGAATTATACTCAATATTGTCTAGAAGGAAGTCAAGGCATTCTCCTTTGCTTTTGAATTGAATAATTTGGCTGCATTTCACATCCTTCATTGACTCTGGTGAATAGACGTTGTAATTTGATTTAACCAACAATTGAGATGCATTTAGGCTGACTATTCCCATGCTTTCACCACTGAGTTGGGAATCATTCATTTTATTCTTGGTTTGGAAATCTTTACTAAGGTTGTGCATCTTCACACTCTTTTCAGGTGTCTTTCCTAGCATCTGCTTATCCTTCGAGAACTCAGCAAATCCTTCGATGCAGTTCATTGATTGATTGGTAGTGGCCTTTCTCTTTTTCTTAGATTCCTTTTTATTTCTCTGTGTGAGAAATCCTTTGTCTCAACTAGAGCGAGGGGTGCTCAGCTCTTTCCCTTCTTTCTCATCAACTTTGTGTAGCCATCAGTCGATCCTTCTGGGAACATTTTTCAAGTAATCAAGATTCTGGAAATTTTCGCTAACGATAGGTTTGCTTCTTGTAATCGAACCTTTGGAGGTATTCATAATTTCTTTGACACTGACTTGTCCCTTCTGAATCTTGCTACTGAGCTTGATAGCAGTAGCTGATGCGAAAAGATCTGCATCATTCTCATCAGCTCCAAAACATTCAGAGTTGAGATCGGATTGCATGATTATTTTCTCAACTCTGTTCTTTTCTTCCTTGATAGATTTCGCAGGGTCGTACTTAAGGTTGGACCTTCTCTTGAGGAAATTAGTATTTTTCTGTTTCTTTTCTTCAGTCTGTTTCATGGCTTTCTTTCTGGTAGGCTCTTCAAGCTGTCTTTTGGCAGCCGAGGAGAAGTCAAAAGCCATAGTCATGCTTCCGCTGAAACCATCTGTGGCTGCTTTACAAGATTGGATTTGATTCACTTGGGAATAATTTGAAGGGGAAACATCGATTCTTTGCTCCTTAAGTCTTTTATTACGCTCTCTAATCTTCTGAACTCTCTCCTGTTTCTCTTGTAACGACTTAGAAATTATGTATGTCTTCCACCAACTTGGGTTCTTCAAAGATTTATTAATTGCATCAATGTAATCGTTCTTTGCCTTTAAAATAAATTTTTGTTGGTTTGACTGAGACTTTGCAAACTCAATTAAATCACTAATGTTCCTCTTATAGTTCTGGATTTCATTACACCCCAATAATTTTCTGGTTTTCCAACCCAAAATATAAGCCTTTGCAAGATATTTTGTTCTCATGAATGATGAATGGGCTAACTGGGAGATTGAAAGCAATGGCGATTTCGCTAAACTCTTCTTTTCAAGCAATATCTTGAAAGCTTTCTGGATGAACAGCACACTTGCGAATCTTTTCCCCTTAAAATGTTGGGTAACTTTCTGTTCAGCTCTTTTCTTTCACTTCTTTTCTTTCTTCTCAGTACTTTGCTTCTGCAAATTTTGGGAGAATTTAGCTGAGAATAATTTTAAATCCTAAAATTTTATTTACAATTTCGTACCTGGATTATCATCTTTTTGTGTGAATTCGTTTTATTCTCTACAAGGCTGAGGAACTTATTATAAGACAACCTGGCATCTATCTCAAAAGACCCGTTGCTGAGGTTGAGACGTTGGGTGAAATTCCCTGACCTGCTCATCATGTGGGAATTAGGTTTACGAGGAGGGAAATAATTCGATGATACAACTCCTCGGTGAGCAGAATGCATAGGACTCTTCACTGGACTATCCAAGTTTACTTTGATTAAATTAGTCGAAGTTAACTTCAACTGATTGGCTTTTGGCACCAAGCTATACCTTGGCTGCTGTCAATAGTTTTCAAAACTCTTGTGAAGTCGGTTGGTTATAGATCCTCTGTTGACTATCCTATCACGAATTCTTGAAAGGGATCTTTCGTCCACATTTTCATCAGGAACTTCATCAAGTTGGCAGACTTCTTGTAATCGACCAGTTTTATTCAAAAATACAGCTGTATGGTTTAAAGCTGCTTTAGGCTGAGTCCTCTCTCCTCTTGACCCAAAATGGAAAACTTGGGCCCTGCTCTTGCTCCCTGTCTGCAGTCCATCTAGCACGAAGGGTAAGTCGTTTGACAAACTGTTAGTCTGGAAGTGCTGTGTATTTCCTGTCGAATTGAGGGCATCAGAATTGGATCGATCAGTCCGTATATTCCCACTCAGCGAGACAGATTTATGACCAAGTTTCAGATTATTAATGGAGCTGATAGAATTTATAGACTTGTTGGAGTCATAATAGTTGTTATAACTCTGGTGTACAACAGATTTCTTTTTGCATAATCTAATTTTCATATTTTCCAGATTTTTGGTATTCCTCTTACTACCATTCATATGGAAACTTCTATAGGAAGTTATGAGGTCAGAAAAGTGAGCGGAATTACCCCTTTCTCATGTTCAACTTGGAAATGGAGTTCTGTGGCAAAGCTGAGGATTTATGACCCACAGAATTATAATTTGAAGTCTTATACTTCTTGTACCTTGGTCTTTGCTCGATGACCATGTTGTTCTCTTCTTTCTATATATTTATTAGGGATTTGTTTTACACAATTTCTGGGAGATTTTGACGAAATAAAAGAGATTTTAGGAATAGGGTTTTCGGAAATGTAAAATTAGTAATTTGAAATAAAACCAGGGCTAGGTCTTTTTATATTTTTAGAATAAGCTTGCTTATCTTCATAAGTTAGCTAACTATGATATATGTCCACTAAGCTGGGATTCATTAGGTTAGTTGTCATAATACTCTGCAGTTCATTCGTTGGAATTGTTACCTCCATTATTGAGCTTATTAACACTAAGATGTAAATAAATTACAAGGGGGTATCCAAAGATGGTTCTAAAAACCCTAGGAGCCTACAAATATCTAAATCCTTCACTCCTCTTCAATAAGCTTTGCTATGTCCTGTTATACTCACCTTCTGTCGCATTCAAAACATTTTCTGCAACTGTCTGATTACTAAATCAAAAGAATTTTATTAATTTATCAGACTGGTAGGGGTTTTGGGGTTTTGGGGTTTTGGGGTTTTGGGG